CTTAGATGCACACACATCACACACTGATGCTGCTCGGGAACCCACACTTAGATGCACACAGGTGGGCCTGTTCCTCTCGGCTTTTCCCTCTGAGTGAAGACTTCTAGTTCAGAACCTCCCAGCTCTGGGGAACTGAGTGAAGACTTCTAGTTCAGAACCTCCCAGCTCTGGGGAAATACTCATTAGATCTGTTTGTCTAGAAATGCTGGGGACCCCTGTGTATCCCGAAGCCCCCCGAAAGATGTGACTGCAGGATTCCGGAGCCCTTCTTGCCAACTGCTGTGACTGCAGGATTCCGGAGCCCTTCTTGCCAACTGCAGCTCACAGAGGGTGTGGGTGTGTGTGTGTGTGGGTGTGTGTGTGTGTCCTTCCTCAACTTCCTGCTTGCTAGCTATGTCACCACGGGCAAATTACTTAACCCCTCTGTACTTCGGTTTCCTCATTTGTAGGTAATAACAGCACTTCGCTTGGAGGGTTGTTGTGAGGATAAAGTCAGGTGTGCATGTGCCTGGTTTACCAGGACGCCAGGCACACAGCAAATGCTCCATAAAAGCTGTGGCTGCTATTATTCCTAGTCCCCCACTCATCTAACCTCTCACCTGTTCATGTGACCAGTGGAAGTGAGGTATCCCTTTCCCCACTGAGTGCTGGGGGTGGTGTCCTTACGATATTTCGAGGAAAGGACTTTTCTGAGGCTGGTGCAGGAGGATGAGCAATTTTCATTTGAGCGGAATTACCTCCCCCAAGTGGCTGGGTGTCCAAAGTCCCATTTCCCTTAGTCCAGTCCTGGAAGAAGTGGAGTTGGGGTTTCATAGAGCTGGAAGCAAAGTCAGTGCCCAAGTTTCCACATGGCAGCCGGGGCCAGGTCAGCATCAGGCTAGTTGCCGTCTGTTAGTCCTTTGTGTGCGGATGAAGGGCAGCCAAGGAGCGCGCCGCCTGCAGCAAGAGACCCACGGGCAGCCAAGAGCACCAAGAGGGCCAAGAGCCCAGAGAGCGAACCCTCTGTTCAGGGCTTAAATATCTCAAATCTTGGGCCACTTGCAGTGGCCACGCCTACTCTGGCCAATGCCCTGTTCCCAGGTGTGACTGACAACAAGCACCTTCGCAAGCCCCCCAACTATACTGGACATGCATCTCTCTTTGCTGCACCCCTGGGGAGTGTAAAGTTTTAGCTTCCTGGTGAAGCTGCCCACATGACATGCCTATAATATTTGACCTTCCTTTTGCTCCTTCCCTGTTATTAATAACTAGGTTAATTAAAACAGTATAACTTAGACACACACACACACACACACACACACACACACACACACACACACACAGGTGGTGCTTGGGGAGACGGTGCTTAGAACCCGGCCTGGCCTTCCGTTTGGACGGCTCTTTCCCAGGTTGTGAAAGCACCTGGTATCATTTTCTCACTTTGCCTCATAAAGTCTGAGGGGAAGGAAGGCGGGATTTATTGGTTCCATTTTTTAAAAGGGAGGAAATAAAGGTGCACAAAGGACACAAGGTGTGCCTGTAAAAACTCACTGCCGTGTGTTTACTCACACACACACACACACGCACACGCACCCACAAGCACACACACGCACACCCACATGCGCACACACATGCACACGCACACACGCACACGCACCCACAAGCACACACACCCACAAGCACACACGCGCATGCACACACACACGCACCCACAAGCACACACACACATGCGCGCACACGCACGCACACATGCAGGAAAACACCGGCAACTGAGGAGGGTACAGGAAGATGGTGCTCTGTGACATGGTCCTGTGTGGCCATTAAAACCTCACACCCAGCATTCTTCCTGGACGTGGGGACGCCTCGGCTATGACATTAATGTGCACAGGAAGACACATTACACAGCCGGGCGGTGGGGGGACAACAGGCCAAAGTATCAACCTTGTTCCCAATGGGAGGTTGTACTTGCCTAGTTTCCTTTCCAATATTCGCTTCTGTATGGTCCAAGATGTCCATAGTGGGACTGTATTGTTGTTATAATTAAATAAGAAAAATAAGCTATTGAGTTACAATTACTCCCCTGAGGGCTTGCAGCCACCTGGGGACAGAGCCCTGCCCTGGGTCTGTCAGCCACGGAAGAGAAAGTGACTATTTCCACCACCTCAGGGCCGACCTTTGGCACCAACACTCCCCAAGGAAATGAATCAACTGTCAGACACCAATAATTGCACTTCCAAGACCTCCTGCCAAACTAGACTTGACACTGACCCTCACTCTCTCAGTGTTATCGTCCGAGAGAGAGAAGGCATCTGGCCCCTTTCACAGGGAAAGTCAAAATCACAGTCCGAGTTTATTGAGCATCTACTATGGGGCCCATGTTCTCCACCTGCATAGCAGGCTGGGTGGTGAGGGAGCACACAGAAGCCAGCACCCATGAGCCCCAGTGGGCTCCCCTGAGTGAGTACTGGGGAGAATGTCCCCTCAGAGGCCTGCTCTGTGAGGGCTTAGCCCTGGAAGGAAAATCAAGGGATGATTTCACAATCAGCTTCTCCGAGACTGAAGACTGGAGCCCTCAGGGAGACTGCTGTGGCCTTCCCTTCCTCCCAGAGCCGTTGTGAGGGTGCCTGAGACCCAGAGGGTAAAGTGGGGTCACAGCTCCTGGCTCTCAGATGAGCGCCGTCTCTATTGACCAATGCAGAAATGAGCCGGCACTATCTCATTCATTCCTTCAGCAAACCATGACTGATCACCTGCTGAGGGAGGACCAGGCACCGTTCTGGTGAGCAGCACCAACAAGGCCCTGCCCTCATGGGATTCACTTTCCAACGGAGCGGGACAGGTGACAAATGAACCAATGATCAGGAGTGTCATTTCAGATTGTTGTAAGTGCTCTAAAGAAAATAAAACAGCATCACACTTGTAATTTGCAGAATGATGGCTCTCAAAGATGCCCAAGTCCTAAACCCGGAGCCTGTGACTATGTAATATTAATCACACGCCGAAAGGGAATTAAAGGTGTAGGTGGAATTAAGGTTGCTAAGCTGCTGGCTTTAAGACAAGGAGAGTGACTTGGAGCGGCCAGGGGGCCCACTGTACTCACAGCGTCCTCAAGAGCTGTGAAGAGAGAGGTAGAGGATGTGACCTTGGAAGAAGGTCATGGAGATGCCACACAGCTGGCCTTGAAGATGGAAGGGGGGCCTTGAGCCAAGGAGTGGGGGAGGCCTCGGGAAGTGGAAAAGGGCCGGGAAACATTCTCCCCGGAGCCTCCAGAATGAATGCAGTCCCGCCAACACCTGGAATTTAGCCCCGTGAGACCTGTGTCAGACCTCCGACCTACAGAACTGTGCACTATACACTTGTGCCCTTTAAAGCCACTATTTGTTACAGCACAAACAGGAAACTAGCAGAGCCCCAAAGCTGCCTCCTGCGAGAGGTTTCCCTGACCATCTGCTGAATGAAGAAAGTTCCCCTGCTACTTGCAGTCACGGGTTCCTTCACAGAACTTACCAGAATTTTAACTGATTGATTCAGTTGCTTATTTACATTAAGCAGCAGGGGTGGAGGGCCTCCCTAAGGAGGCGACAGTGGAAGTCAGATCTGATTACTGAGAAGCACCAGGCCTGAGCTGAACTGTCCAGGCTGGGGAGAGGGGAGGAGAGAAAACAAAAGGGAAGGGGAGAAGAGGGAAGGGGAGAGAAGGAGAGGAGAGGAGAGGAGAGGAGAGGAGAGGAGAGGAGAGGAGAGGAGAGGAGAGGAGTGGAGTGGAGAGGAGAGGAGAGGAGATGGAATGAGAGGGGAGGAGAGGAAGCAGTGGGAGCATACATAAAACCAGGCCCAAGACCAGTCAGGAAGCAGTAAAGCACGGCCTGTCCTGGACATGCCCCGAGGGGACCCACCTCCCCTCCCCAGGAACCAGCTGGGCAGCCAGAAGACAGGCCTGCCAGCAGCTCCTAGCTACGTGTCCTTATTTTCTGAGCAGCTACTTGACCTCCTGTCCCTGGATATTCATCTCAGGCATCTCAGGCCGCACATCCTCTCTGGAAGCAGTCAGGGTAGAAGCATCCCAGCCCCAAACAAGTGAGGAAAGCCCACAGGAGCCAGGGTAAGGGGGCCTCCTGGGAGAGCACTTGTCCCAAGGGGGAAGGGCTCCAGGAATAACCATCATGAGAAGTGACCAGTGGGGGGAGGAAGGGCTGCTGACTCTGGAGTGGGGAACACTGAGCCCCTCTAAATGCACCTGGAGTCCTAGGGAGAGAGGCATTAAACCCGAACTCACCGCTGCCCTGGAATTCTAGCCCCTACTGGCCTCCCTGTTCTTCCTCCCTCCAGTAACCTCTAATTCCAGGTGCCCCGGTGCCCCAGCAACCACACCACTTTCCCTCTCTCTGATCCTCCCTCCTGATCAGGAGGGCCCCTTTTCATCATCCAGGCTCACTCTCACTCTGGGCTGTCCCTTCCACCCACCCTCCTGTGCTGCCCCACCCCACGCACAGGCTGGATGGGCCTCCGCCCCAGGCTCACCGCCCCCTTCCCCCAGCAGCCCCGCCCTGCCCCAGGGCCTCAGCAGGTGACAGCAGCTTGGCTAACTCACTCCTCCACCGCCCCCCCTTCCTCCCCAGGCCTGGAAGGTGGTCTGCATCGGACTTGTTTTGGGGGGGGGGGGCAGGGTTTTGTTGTGTTGTGTTTTGTGTTTTCAGGCAGAGCCTGTGGTATATCATTCCCAAGCTGCTCACATCCCCAGCCGAACCTCCTCTGCCAAGGCCAGGGCTCTGTGGGGAGGAGGCACTCACCTGGGCCCCAGCCAGGGGGCTCCCCGGCCAGGCGAGACCAGAGACTCATTTCCTGCCAGGGAGCCCTGAGGTTAACTTCCTCCTTCCGGGTGAGGTGTTTAAGAGGGCAGGGAGGGTTTATGGCAGGCCTCTCAGAAGGAGGGCAGCGCCTGGGCAGGCCCAGGAGGAGCTGGCCACGGAAGGTGATCCATGAGCCGCTTCATCCTCCCTCCGGGCCTGCTGCATCCACAGGGCCCGCCGCGAGGCCCCAGCCCCTCCGAAACCGGAAGCCAGACTCTCTGACGGGGTGGTGGTCGCTGGCTCAGGGACCCAAGACCCCAGCTGGACCCTCTTGCCTTCTTTCTCCACCGAAGCGGGGAAGCGGGAGCTCGAGCCCTCAGGTACGTTCCTATCGGAAGGCAAAGGGCGACCTCTGGGTCACATTACTGAGGGGAAGGCAAACCAAGGTGGAAGGTGGGCGGGTAGCAGATAAGGAGAGAAAGACGAAAGGAGAAGAGGGAGCCACAGCGTGGAAGAGATTTCTGAGATCAGACTGAGGAAGGTGATTTTATCGGAGGAGCCAATTCTGATCGGTTAGTGGAGGGCGGCGACGGGGATGTGAGGCGTTGAGGCTGGGTTCAGGCTCGGTGCAAAGTGTGCCGTGCCGTGATTAATTAGCGGCGCCTGCCTAGCTAAGGGCCCAAGAATGAGGTGGGGCTTGCAAGCCAGGGATCTGATAACCCACATGGCAGGCTCTTTTCCTTAACCACAGTAACCACAAAGGCCTTTGGATATTTCTTCATTCGTTCACTCATCTAGTCACTAAAAAAAACACACTTGACCTTCAACTATGAGCCACACAAATATTTGAAGAATGAATGAAGTAAGAAGGAATGTTGTTCTTTGGGTCCAACTCTCATTTTTCTCAAAAAATCATGGTCTGAAAAGTTACAACAAAGGTTCATGGTCTTGAGGAGTTTTCTAGCCATGTGATATCAGACTAACCCCTTCCTTTGATTAAGACTCAATTTTCTCATCTGTAAAATGGGAGTGATCATCAGGATATCCCCTCTTAATCCCTGTAGTTCTCACTGGCATCTAGGATAATAATCACTGAAAGCCTATACTAGCCAGGCTCTGTGTAAGTGCTCTCTGTATAATAACACCTTTAATCTTCATGTCACTTCTCTGAGGAAGGCACCATTACTACTCCCATTTTGCAGGTGGGAAAGCAAGGCCTTGGGAGATTAAACAGTTTTCCCGGGGCCATGCTCCACCGCAGTGTGCTCTGTGACGCAGCTGATGCTACCTCCGTGGCTGGAAGAGGGCTGGTGCAGGCGCCTCTTCCCAGACGAGCCCTTCAATGACCAGTTCAGCCTACATATCAGACAAGCAAGGATTCGATTATTAAAAAGACAGGAGAGCAAAGCAGACGTGGTCCTAGCCTGGAAGTGAAACAACTTGTACAGGTGGTCATTTCAAACCAGTTTTGACAGGAGCCATAGAGGAGACAGCCCGGGAATCAGAACAGACTTCTCTGGGATTACATTTGCAGGGGAATGCTAGCAGGGGTAGGAGAGCAGGATGGGTAAGCACTTGGCGCATGGCAGAATCCAGGAGGAGGGGGAGAGGGAGGAGAGGGAGGAGAACTCTGCAGAGGAGGCTGGAGCTGGTGGTGGGAGGTGAGGTAGCAGCGAGGTGGCCACTCCCAGGCCAAGCACGGCTATGGGGAGGAGTTGGGCTTTGCCCATTGTTGGCTCCAGCTTGTCCATCTGTCTGTCTGCTCTAGTGCATCTGCCAGCCCCCATACAGGCTGTCCACTGCCCACCTCAAGCCAGGCCAGGCCAGCCAGTATTAGACGGGCTGGTCTCATCTGAGGAGGAGCAGCTGCCATTGGGGTCTGTCCTATGGTGGTCCTTTACACGCCTTCTCTGAGCCCAACTCCGTGTGTACACACAGGCCCAGCAACTCTGATCCAATAGAAAGTTGAGAGTCTACAGGGCCAAGGGGTCCTTCCTGGAGTGGGGGACGCTTGAGGCCACAGTTTGCCAACATGTTGGGCTGGGCAGCTCCTCCTCAGATGAGACCAACCCCTGTCTAATATTGGCAGGTCCAGCACAGCTGCTGGTGGGCAGCGGCCAGCGTGGGTGAGGGCTGGAGTCCCACAGGGCAGGCCCCTGTGAGCAAGAGGTAAAACGTCCTCATCAGACAGGCCTGGGCCACCTGACCACCCTGGAACCAGAAATGGGGCCAGCCCTACCCACCTGCTGATGGTGTGAGGGCAAGCATTAGAAGAAGGGAGCATGGATGCTGGACAGGGACCAAAGTAACAGATGGTCACCACCCCTAGCTCCAACCACCCCTACTTCATTTAACTAGTTACTACGGTAACGAACAGCAGCGCTGCCTACCGGCATCTACTTGGATGAGTCACTTTCTATTTGGGCAAGTCACTTAACCTCTCTAAGCCCAATTTCCTCCTGGGCAAAGGGCAGTTAATAAAATAATCTGCCTCACAAGATTGTTGGGAAGATTAAATGAAAGGACACCGGGCTCAAAATGGACAGGCTAACAACAATAATACTTAGTAGGATCATTCTTATGATTATTAGTAAGATTCTGTCTCCTCCCGAGATCTTTGGATCCCATAGCAGCTCCCCAGGGAAGACTTCTCTCCCAGTGTCTCCCCAGACCTGGCCTTGGTGAATCCAAGCAGCCACGGCCCAGCTGCCTCTGCGGGAAGGAATAAACCTACCCACCGGGTCTGAAGTGCATTTCCTCACGTCGACCTGCTGGAGTGATTCAGACGGGCCACCAGCGGGCCTGCTGGGTCAGGGGTGAACCGGAGGCTCCGGGCAGCCCTGCCCTGGTCCAATCAGTCCTCTCTGGTGACTCACAGCCAGGCTCTCAGCAAAGAGGCACAAACTGAAGACGCCCAGCAGCCTCAGGTCTCCCCATCCCCCCAACACTAGGGGGAAGGGGCTGCATGATGGACCAGACACCCTCCCCCTTCCTCCCGCTGCTCTGTCAGAGCCTGGAGAAGCCCATTCCTCTCTGGGCGCACTTTTCTCTCATCCTGGAGGGATTTCTGCCTTCTTAGGAGAGAAGGACAGGGAGGGCAGAGGGCACATCCCCAAGGGGCAGAGCAAGGAGCCTGCTTGCTGAGCGATCAGGAGCGCTTCCTCAGAACAGTATTCTTTGGGCGAATTCTCTCATTTAACCTTCACTGCATTGAAGATTGTGGTGGCTGTGGTCAGACGAGGAAACTGAGGCTGAGAGAGGATTGTGTCCACAGACGGGCCTCCAAAGCCCCCACTCATAACTGCCATGTTATACAGACACAGTTCCCAAGCCAGAGGCAGCTCTGCAAACCCAAAGGTGCAAATATGGCTCGAGCTGTCCCTCCCTGGGGGCCCCCTGGGGGCAGGCACTGAGCAAAGCACCCTCAGGTGATCATCTGGTCAGTGAACTGGGAGGACAGTCCCCCTGAAAACCCACGTGAGGACAGAGCAGGAAGCTGAGCCCTGCAGAGCAGGGGGGCTGGTGGAGCCTCCCCCTGAGTGAGGAGGGGCAGAAGATTGGGGACTTTCTAATCCAGGGATGGGGGACATCGCATGAGGGCCGCCTAAGGCTCGGGAAATCATTTGGTCTGGCCCTGCCAGGCATTGGGGGTGAGTTCATTAAATGTCTGACCAAGTATAGCAGGCTAATTGTTAGGCTGATAATTCTGTATGGCCCTTGAATGATGTTATAAATACCCTGATGGCCCTTGGCAGAGAAAGGTTCCCCACCATTGCTCTAATCCCTCCAGCGCGGCAGCCCAGCTGACCAAACCCAGGCGGCTGACGCCCAGCAAAGGGAGCAGCAGGGCTCACGCCCACCTCGGGCTAAGAGGGGCCACACCTGGAATTGGGGTCCACAAACTACGACCCACAACCAGTTCCTGCCCACCACCTGTTTTGGTAAATAACGTTTGATTAGAACAGGCCGCGTGCATTCGTGTCCACGCTGCTTTCCTGCAGCAATGGCCGAGCTGAGTATTCGTGACTGAGAACAGACTGCCCACCGAGCCCCAGAGCTCTCCCCTCTGCGCCTTCCCAGGACGCTCTGGGGCCCTGGCCTGGAGAAGTAGAACGAGTAGCTGGGAATGTGGCTCCCAGGTCCGTCTCTGCCTGGGCTTGTCTCTGAGATCCTTTCCTCCTCTGACTCCTCCCAGCCCTGAGGCCTGACCTCTCTGTGCCTCAGTTTCCCCAGACTCCTCACTGAGCCGCTGCAGGATTAACTTAGTGAAGATAAGGCAGGCCTCGCCGCAGTGCCGGTTGTCTCGGTCTGGGGAGCATTTCAGGAATTCTAATAAACGAGGCCTGCGGCCTGAGGCCTCGAGTCTGACATGCTTGCTGGGAACACGGGAGTTCACACGAAGGACCCTCAGAGGAGGATGCGCCTCTGGTTACTTGATTACTGCACACAGGCCTGGGCCCGAAGGCGGGAAACTCGGGGCGAGAGAAAACTGGGTCTGGGCAGTCACACACATCCCTGGTTCTGGGCCCTGACACGCGTGCGCGCGCGTGTGTGTGTGTGTGTGTGTGAGACACACATGGGGCTGTCACTGTTGGTCTCTCAGTGTCTCTCCTTCTTCTTTGCTCTGTTCCCGTCTGTCTACCTCAGTCTCAGTCTTTCCTCCCGGGTCCCTCTCCCTCAGACCCTGCCGCTCCCTCTGCGGTTCCCACCCCCACTCCCACGCATGCGGGACGCCCTCGCCATGACTCCCTGCCCACACACCGAGGAACAGCAGGAAGCCGGGGGAAGCACCAAGTGCCCCTGCCGTTGGTGACATTTAATCCCCAGCATTTCCAGGGACGAGGAGGAAAATGCCCGAGCTGGCCTATCCCGAGGAGGCGCATGCGATTCCAAGGGCTGAGCGGGTCCTCTGGACGGAGCTCAGCTTCGGAGAAAATGGGGGTCTGGGGGGAGGAAGCAGCCACTTAGATGGAGGGAGCAGCTCCCAGTTTATCTGTCTGTTTTTCTTCATTCTTTTCCTTTTTAAGCAGAAAGCCACTCTCCTCCCTCTAACAACAGCTGCTGCACATCCACTGTGGGCCTTTCCCGTCCTGCTTGGTTCTGGGAGGCCATGGCGGAGCTGGAAGGCCCCTTTGTACAGAGGCCTCCGGAAACAGTGGCAGGTTCTGGCTCCCACAGGGCCATTCAGAACTGTCACCACGGCCAGGCAGAGAGTTACCAGAGAGCTACTGTGGTGGCATTTTGGTTGCACAGAAACAACAAACATCCGTTGGGAGCCTGCCATGGAGGTGCACCAGCAGGAAGCAGCAGGTGGCAGGGGCTGCCAGCAGGGAGGAGCCGGGCAGAGGCCAGCCGGAGGCCAGCCGGCCAGCACACCCCA